AATATAATATAAATATTTATTTGTACATTGCAATACACGTACCAAAATATTATTATTTAAGACACGTTAATAGTTAATAAGTTTAATGATTATATATTGTAAATATAAAAGTTTTACAGATAATTAATCATTACCATAATTTTTAAAATAATTATTATAATAAAATAGGATTAGGTCTAATATAAGAGATTAGTTCAACATTTACTACCTGATTATACCTCCAATAGATTTTCAACAAGGATACTCAGGCGATAGTAAAAAAATAATAAATAATAATACTGAATTATAAAAACCAATAAATTTACAAAAGTTTTTTATTATTTATTTTTTCTCCTCATGTGCCAAAATTAATAGGTTTTTATTTTCTTAATAGAAAAAAATTGCAATGACAACAAAACAATTTAAATCTACGACAACCTAAACCTCTTACAACTTACAAGTAAACGTATCATAACAATTAAAAGTTAGTAAGTAAATTACACCATGTTTATAATTAAATAACCATTTAAAATATTTTAAATTATTAATATATAAAACTACTAGAGTTAATCTAGTTGTTAGAAAAAGAGAAATCAAAATAATTAGAAATATGAACATCTAAATTTAATCTTCATTACAATCATCTTTATAATATTTTTATTTTTATCAAAAAAAAAAGTTATTACTATATAACTAATTTTTTAAAAAATTTAAAGATTGTTTATCACACCATCAAAACAAAACAAACAAACTAAATACATTTAAAATTTTAATTTTGATAAGAACAGGAAACGGATCCTGAGAAAGTAAAAGAAAGAAATCGGGACATGTTTCAGATAAAAGAGGTGGTAAAAAGAGACATCCATAAACGCTTTTTAAATTCGAGGAAAAGCTAAAAGCTTAAATCAAAATCACCTGTCTAAGGATACAAACAATGCTAAGACTTAAACATTCAAATTAAACTTGATTATCCTCAAATTACAGATAGGGTTATTCCACTTACACCGAAACTAGAAATTTCACACTACTGCTAAGTGAAAGCAATCGATTACAATACACAAGGAAAGCCCTAAGCCCTCTCGCCCCTAATCCTACGAGCAAGCTGAATATCCTTGGGCATAATGGTGACTCTCTTGGCATGAATAGCGCAGAGATTTGTGTCTTCAAAAAGACCAACGAGATAGGCCTCGGCGGCTTCCTGAAGAGCAGAGACAGCACTGCTCTGGAATCGGAGATCGGTCTTGAAATCCTGAGCGATTTCCCTCACCAGCCTCTGGAAAGGAAGCTTCCTGATGAGAAGCTCGGTGCTCTTCTGGTACTTGCGGATCTCCCTCAGCGCCACCGTGCCCGGCCTGAAACGGTGGGGCTTCTTCACGCCGCCGGTGGCCGGAGCAGACTTACGTGCGGCCTTCGTCGCCAGCTGCTTCCTCGGAGCCTTTCCTCCGGTGGACTTCCTTGCGGTTTGCTTGGTACGAGCCATTGATATCGCAAAGGAGGATTCGAAGAGTGAGAGAGAGAATGAGAGTGGTGTTTGTTTTGTTTGAGTTGCGTGTGACGGGGTGTATTTATAGGGGTACACATCGCCAAAAAAGGTTGAGCGGGAATTTTTCATTTTTCATTCTGCGAAATTTTGATTCAGCCGCGCGAATGTCACCGTTGATGCCGGTGTCAATCAACGGATGAGGTCTTTCCTCAACTTAAGCCACGGATCGCGATCCGTGTCGCTTACAAAAGCACCAATAGGCACTGCCTATACTTTGTTAGGCACTTGGTGAGTTTATAAACTTTATATAGTCAATTTAATTTAAACGTAATTTTTTTCTCTTTCTTTTTCTTTTAAAATCTAATAATAAAAAAAGAGAGTAAAAAAGTGAAGAAAAAATCTCCTTGTTCAAATAAGTGAATAAAAAAACTTATATAGTTGATTTTATTAAATAAAAAAATAAGTAAAAAAAAGTAATTAAACACTTACATGTATTTTTGCAAAAAGTTTTTCAAAATCAACATAAGTTCAATAAATAATTAATAATATCAATAAAATTAATATCTCTACTCTAATCTCATATGTTTCTCGTAGTAATATGTTATATGTAATCTTATCTTACTCAATGTGATATTCACTTGAAAATAACAATTAATCCAAATAATATAAAACAGGAGAGTAAGAATATATCTTACACAAGTTTAAAGCATGTGCAAGAAGGACAAGTAGTAAATTAAAACATGCCAAACAATATGACTCAAACACAAATACACAACTCAAACCTAGTGACTCGTGAACTCTCGTGCTCTTAATTGTATATGCATGTAGTATTATTAGCATAATGCATTGGTGAAACAACCTAGAAATACATGAAAAACACAAATTACCACATAATGGGTAAACGACACATTCATTCTCTTTATAACAAAAATACAACAATAATCAATCAGAAAAACACAACTTTCCACACATCACATGTATTAACAACATGTTCCTTATTATTAAAACTCATAAGGCCTAAGATAGAAGATCATGGAGACCTTTATAATTAGATCGCATACCACTACCTCCAAACAAAATATGCATGAGTTATATAAGACAACACATGCAAATGGAATGTAGTTAGGTAACACCTATACTTAATACATGGCTAGACAAGGTCTAAATTTCACAAATGACTAAACAAAGCTTAGAGTTTACACACGTCAAACATTGTTTAAAGTTAACTCTTGGCACATGGATAACTCAATGACACGTATAACTCGCAACTAACATCTAAATTATATGACCATTGACTCTTAACACATGTGATTATTACTTGTTCTTTATGCTTCAAATTGTTTTATACTTTTTTTCTAGTTTATTTGACCCTTGCTAAAAAATCTCAAACATTCCCAAAGTTAGAGCACTTTTATTGGAAAAGTAACATTAAATTTTTTTATTAATGAAATTGCTAGGCAACACACCTTCGCTAAGTGAACTCCACTATAAAGACCTAAATCCGTTAAGTGAAAAACCACTCATAGAGTGAATTAAAAAGACCATCACATAGAAACCAATCATAGTTGAGCGAAATATTTTTGTTTGACCAATCATTGTTGGGCGAAATATTTTCACTTAGTGACCCAAAAGAGACTTATCATAAGAGTTGAAATTCATTGAGTGAAATCTCATTCTCAAATAAACACATAGAGACTAAAACTTGCTTAACCAAGTGATTTCATTGAGTAAACTACCAAAGTCCAAAAAAACGCAGGGTTTTGACTTAGGGAAAGCTATCTTTGAAATACGCGAAATAACACATAATAATGGAGATTGAATTGTGTGTTTAATTTATTTTTTTTCAAACTATATTTTCAATCAAATTAGTTAAGTGCATTAATCATTAAGTAAATTCATAAGTGGATAAAATAAAGAGTAAGGGAAAATAAAGAGTAAAGGAAAGAGATAATCAAACAAGGATATTATGTCTTCACATTTAACCTTGAGGGGACGTTTAGTACCCAGAATGTTGTTACTTTCATAAGAATCTCAAATCGAGAATCTTTGTTCTCCCTATTTGATAACTATTAGAAAAAATAAATTAAAGAAATATAATTTTTTGGGAATCATTTTTATTCCACTTTCACACAAAATCATTCTCATAGGAGTTGAGAATTAAACTTTCCTAAATTAGAGAGAAAATTTTATGTATATAAAAAAATCATAATATTTTTTTAAAATAAAAAATATAGTTATAATTCATCTTCTTCCAAACACATTAATTTTTTCACACACTATTTTGTTCATTTTTTAAATATTAAAAAAAGACAATTGTTAGAAAATGTTATTAAAAAAATAAAATGAAAGAGAACATTGTGTCATAATATTAGTCACTATTTTAAAAATAAATTTCGATAGACCTTCATGCAACCCAAAATCTAGTTTCTTTTTAAGGTTAACACAATAATGTGTTTAAACCATGCATTTGAGGTCAAATATGTTAAAGTCTCATAAATAATGTCCATAAAATTATAGTGAGAAAATATTAAGTGTATAGAATAATTGTTGTTCCTAAAGTGTGACGGTCATACCCTTTTTATAGTACAAAATATTTATCTGTTGGTAATTCAGTAAAAAAACAGCCAAATGCTAACAAAATCAATATTTTTTTCTAAATGCTATTGAATGGGTATTAAAGTCGCAAACCAAGAATTAAAATAAATCAAATGTTGCGAACAATCATGAGCATGATACAATGGGAAAAGGGAAATTAAAGGCCACCATAATTCTAGCAACATTTTTTTTCCCTTTTGTGTTTTAATTTACGCTACCAACAATTTCCATTCAAAGACCTAAAGCAATCTATCTATTTTTCGCTGACATGTTAGCGCAAACATTCTCTACATTTTAGACCATCCTGATCTTCTCAAGTTCTCATACCTTTTTAACTCGTTGATTTCGTGTTCTTTCCTCTTTACTCTGTTTCACCTCATAGAAACAAAGTCTAACTAGTTTTTCTCTTTTGAAATCTCCATGCATTTTACGAGGTTGATTATCTGTTTATAAATATTTAGATGATATGAATTAATTTTAGAGGACTGGATGAATTTGTTAATATTATTTTGTAGGAACAATATGGGGACTATACAAAGATTTGTGTCAGTGGATCGGTTAGAATCTATACTTGTCAGAATCAGAATCAAATTTCTGGGAGCTATTTCTAATATGATTTCTAA